CAGGCTGGCCTTGAACTATGTAGCCCAGGCTGGCTTCAAATTCACAACAATCCTCCTGACTCAGCCTCCTGAGTGTTGGAATTACAGGTGTGTGCCATCATACCCAGCTCAAAGTTTTTGGTCTCGGTCAGTCTCTCTCTCTCTCTCTCTCTCTCTCTCTCTCTCTCTCTCTCTCTCCCTCCCTCCCTCCCTTTTTTCTTTCACAATCTCCATTTTTTTCTTCACCCACCCTATCCACAAAGCTACTCAGTGGAAAGAGATGGAGAAAGGCACTGCACTGGCTTTTGTTGCTCCTATTGCTATTCTTCCTAAGATGCCCACAGGCATGGTACAGTGTTCCTCACTTTGTACCTGAGGAAACTGAGGCTTGGAGAAGATAAGTTGAACTACCCATTTGGCTCCTCAGACCCCTCACTGTCACGCCCACGCTGAACTGCATTGCTATCAAATGCATTGTACCAAAAGTTGGGTCTCCAGTTCTGTCAGAGAGGTATGATGACTTACTTGTAGGTTTTGGACTTATCCAGCCAAATGCCTGAGATCACAGCCCCAAACATTCCTGCAATGACGATGGTCAGGCCTATTCGTCCAGCGTTCACTTCTTCCCCCTGGGGAAATCCCAAGATGACCATGTGTTAGGACAAGGCAGGGGACAATGTCAAGTAGCCATGGGATGAAAGGGCACAGAGGAGTAGCTCAGAGCCCAGGAGAGCTGAGGACAGCTGCTCTTCCCGAAGCATAACCCTGGTGTGTGTGTGTGTGTGTGTGTGTGTGTGTGTGCACGCCCGTGCATGTGTGTATGTGTGTGCATTTGTGCGTGACACTTGCTGATGAGTGACATAATAAACCAAGTCCTGTTCTTAGAACTAATTTTAAGGTCTGGCCAAATAGCTCAGTGGATTAAAGTGCCTGCAAGCAGGCTCAGGGCCTGGGGGTTTGGTCCCAGTGCCTGCAAGCAGGCTCAGGTTCTGGGGGTTTGGTCTCAGGGCTGGCCTGGCCCCCAGGGCGCGCTGAGACAGCAATTGAGACTGAGCATGAAATCCAAAAAAAAAAAAAGCGCAAATTAAAAAATAATTGAGGTGGCTGGTGAGATGGCTCAGTGGTCTAAAGCACCCACTTAGAACAAGCTAAGCTTAAGCAAAACACAGGGACCACGGTTCAATCCCCCAGCACCACATGCCAGCCAGCCCCGCCCCCTCAATTAAAAAATAATTGAGGTGGCTGGTGAGATGGCTCAGTGG